TTAAAGGGAAATATTATGTTCCATATACAATTTCCAGCTTTATTTCATTTTTTTAAAAGTATGTTTGAAGTTTTGTTTATTATTAAATCTTGAGTGCTTTTTGAATGGTAGCAACTGATGTAATGTGAAGCCACTTTCGATCATGGAAAGGTCAAGACTCCTCTGAACCTAAGTGGGCCACTTCTCTGGCCTGTTCAGCAAGCTTATCCATTTTCCATTCTGATGTCTTATGAATGTTTAAACTTTTGATAACTGTATAGAAGATAATTGATATGTACCATGTTATAAGTTTAGGTAAGGTATATGATATTGTAACATAATAAATCAGGATTTCAGATTTTTTGGTTAGTCAAATTTACCATTGTGTTAGGGTGCCCTTTTAGTGACTTTATTTTATTTTAACATTGCATGGTAAAACAATCTTAGCCTGTGACTTTATTTATGCCTCCGTGATCACCTCAATATGAATACCTGGCACTGTTGTTCTGGAAATTTCATTTTTCTTTATTCAATGAATAAATGTTTTGTGTTGATTTCATGGATTGAAATTTTAAATAGTAACCTGTAAATATAATACCATGGCTAAGACTAGGTTAACTTAAAGACATGAGAACTCCAAACTTGGAGATAGACAACTGATTGATGTTTAATATACACTGTAAATGATATTGATTTAGCTACATATATATTTCACATATCTGAAACCTATCTGATTTTTAATTTAAATAATTATTTTGAAAAACCATATTTAGAATTACATTTTTCAGTTAAACTTAATAAATACCTAGTGTATTGCAGGTCAAACAAAGAATAACCTATAACCAATTGGCACCTATAATTCAGGTTTCATGTCCTTAATGTTAATTACCAAATCTTGTAATATTGCATGTTTAAATAATGATCTTAACATGTGAAGAATTACTGTGCTAGAATAAAGCAAGTGGTGAGCTACATTAAATAATCCTATTTATAAAATAAACATGCTTTACTTTGTATAAATATTATTAAAAATAAAGTCTTCATATTCAGTAGTCTTTATGATCACCTAAGTGAAATTATTAATTTTTGTATTAAGTACTAAATACTAATTACACATGCCTGTAAATTTAAACTTTGTAAAAGTTGTTTTGGTTTTAGTAACGAATTTTCCATAATTCAGCTATGCAGATTTCGAAAATAATAATAATTTTTTATATCACGTAAGGATTTTTTTATAAATCAGGAAGAAGAAAAAACTTATTTAGACCAAATTATTATTTTGTTTACCACAATGAACATTTTTTATTATTATGTTTGTTAACAAGGATACAAACAAATTGAAGAAAAGGGAAGAACATTGATGTCAATCGAATATGAATCGCAATTCATCCTGATTTATTTTTTGTGAAATCTACATGTTGTGGTATTTCTTTTATGTTTTGCATTATGACATTTTGTGAAAAATATGTACATGATGGAGAAAAATGGATATCATTTTTGGATTCAGTATACAAGAATTACTGTTGAATATGTAAAAATTTCAAGACAATAAAAATATTGCAGGCCTGTGTTATTAAATATTTATTTTGTAATAATAATCAGTGAAACATTTAGTAAATATTTAATAATTAGATTTAGGTTATTGTATTGACTAATAATCATGGCAACAATTGATATCCAATTGGCACAGCCTTCATGTAAATACTCCAAAATCTTCTGGAAATTGTTTTGTTTTTATTCAATGAACACGTTTTTTTATGTTGGTTTCATGGAGTGAAATTTTAAATATTGACCTGAAAACATAATACTGTGGCTATAATTAGCTGAACTGAAAGTAATGAGAACTCCAAACTTGGGTAGAGACAACTGGTTGATGTATTGTATACTCTGTAAATCATAGTGATTTAGCTAAATGTGGCCAGTGCATTTTGATTTAATTTTGTGTTTGGGACTTTATTTTTTGTGTCTGTCATAGACATTTACTGTTTGTTCTACTATATATCACTCTTGCCATTTTCTACATTTTGGTTATTTTTCCTGGGCCAGTGTATTGAGCAAAACACTAGATAGCTGTAGTTAATGGCTGTCATTGGATTTTGCATGCAAAGCCACCCTCCTATTATTAAGTTTTTTAAAACCAACTAGTATTTCTTTTTATTAGCCCAAGCTTTTGGTTTTTTTGCTGAATTTGTAAGCATATTTTTGTTTATTTGATGGGTTATCAGTTTCATTTGAGTGTTAGCTAGTTAATTAATAATCTTCTTTAAACATAAAGAACAAATCATTGCTCTGCAAAAGCCAGATTTGTATTTCCTTGCATTCACTTAATTATGGTTCAGTTATTGGCCATTTATAGTTCTTCTTGTAAATTAAATTCAAATGACAACTTTTTTTATTGTTTTACAGAATAAAAATATTTATTTAAGAGGAATCTACTGTCTTAAATCCACTTTATATGTTATGATGCTTCAACACATCTTCAGGAGTGCAATTCACAAAATCTTGTACACTTTTTATATTATCAGTTCTATAAAGTGATATCTCATTTTACATTATTACAAAAAATACCACTCAACATGTATTCCTGAACAGTCTACCTTTTCTGGGATCCAAACCTCCACCCACATTTTTGCTGTGTGTGGTGATTTGTAAAGGAAGGAGATAGAATCCTTGAGTGGTGTTTTAACATTTGGCCTTCA